ACTACTAACAACTACTACTACTACTACTACTACTACTAGCTACTACGTACTACTACTACTACTACTACTACTACTACTACTACTACTACTACTACTACTACTACTACTACTACTACTAAACTACTACTACTACTACTACTACTACTACTACTACTACTACTACTACTACTACTACTACTACTACTACTACTACTACTACTACGACTACTACTACTACTACGACTACTACTACTACGACGACGACTATTACTACTACTACCACTACTACTAAATGCTACTCCTACACCTACTTCCACTTCTTCTGCTACTCCTACTCAAAATCCGACTCCTCCTCCTACTCCTACTCCTACCCCGACTTCTACTCATACTCCTACATTCACACCTGCTCCTCCTCCTCCTCCTCCTCCTCGTCATCATCCTCGTTCCCCTCCTCCTCTTCCTCCTCTACCTCCTCCTTCTCAACCTCCTCCTCCTCCTCCTCCTCCTCCTCCTCCCCCCCATCGAGGCGAGGAGGCCGAGGAGGAGACCAAGAGGGTCGAGGAGGTCGAGAAGCGAAGATGAGGAGGCTGGGCATCTCGACATCCTCCTCCTCCTGCTCCTCCCCCTCCTCCTGCTCCTCCTCCTCCTCCTCCTGCTCCTCCTCCTCCTCCTCCACCCCCCCCCTCCCTGGAGGGCCACAAAACTGGACCCTCGATCCTCGAACCCAGAGGGGGGCTCCACCAGAAGCGGCCCCCAGACCTCTCACGGGGTCTTCCCTGGCCGGTCTTGCAGGCCGCGCCCGGCCGTGGCGACGAGGGCCCCCGCCTGCGGAAGCGCCCCCGGACAACAGCGAGACGCAGACCCCCGAAGGCGTCGGACCTCCGAAGCCTCGATCCTCGAACGCCTCACTCCTCGAACGCCTCGACCCTCGAAGGCCTCGATCCTCGAAGGCCGCGATCCCGAACGCCTCGAACGCCTCGATCCTCGAAGGCCTCGATCCTCGAAGACCTCGCTCCTCGAACGCCTCGAACGCCTCGATCCTCGAAGGCCGCGATCCTCGAAGGCCTCGAAGCCTCGAACGCCTCGAAGGCCTCGAAGGCCTCGAGCGCCTCGAAGGCCTCGAACGCCTCGAGGATCGAGGCCTCGCGAGCGATCCTCGAAGCTCGAGGATCGAAGATTCGGCTCGAGGGTCGGCCCTCCTCGCTCGAGGACCTCGAACGCCACGGCCCTGCCCTTCGGCGGGGCGCGGAGCGCCACGGCCCCCGCGAAGGGGCCAAAGAGCGCGGCGGCCGCGCCGCCGCCCGCGAGGCGCAGGCCCGTGGCCGCGGGGGTCGGGCCGCAGGCCGCGAGGCGCAGGCCGTGGGAGGGGAGGCGAGGAGCCGAGCTCTGATCCGCACGGGCTCCTCCTCCCTCCCTCCTCCTCCTCGTCCTCCTCCTCCTCCTCCTCCTCCTCCTCTTCCTCCTCCTCCTCCTCCTCCCTCGCCCCTCCTCCTCTTCCATCCTCGCTCCTCCTCCTCGTCCTCCACCTCCGCCTCCTCCTCCTCCCTCACTCACTCCCTCCGCCTCCTTCCTCCCTCCTCCACCTTCCTTCGTCCGCCTCCCTCCGTGGCCGTAGGGGTTCGGGCCGCAGTCCGCGAGGCGCAGGTCGTGGGAGGGTGAGGCGAGGATGCCAAGAGCTCTGATCCGCACAGGGCTCCTCCTCCCTCCATCCTCCCTCCTCGTCGCTCACTCGTCCTCACTCCTCCTCCTCCTCCTCCTCCTTCCTCCTCCTCTCCTCCCTCTTCCTGCCTCCTCCTCCCTCCTCCCGTCCTACCCTCCTCCCTCCTCCCTCCTCCCTCCTCCCTCCTCCGTCCTCCCTCCGCCTCCTCCCCTCCTCCTCCTCCTCCTCCTCCATCCTCCTGGCCCTCCCCCTCCACCTCCATCCTCCTGCCTCCTCCTTCCTCCCTCTCCTCCTCCTCCTCCTCCTCCTTCCTCCTCCCCTCCTCCTCCACCTCCTCCTCCTCCTCCTCTCCTCCTCCTCCTCCTCCTCCACCTCCTCCTACCTCCTCCTCCGCCTCCTCCTCCGCTCTCCCTCCTCCTCCTCCTCCTCCTCCTCCTCACTCTCTCCTCCTCCTACCGCCTCCTCCTACCTCCTCCTATCCTCCACCTCCTTCTTCTCCTCCCTACGTGTACGGTGGGGGTCGGGCCGCAGGCCGCGAGGCGCAGGCCGTGTGATGGGAGGCGAGGAGGCCGAGCTCTGATCCGCACGGGCTCCTCCTCCTCCCTCCTCCCCTCCTCCTCCTCCTCCCTCCTCCTTCCTCCTCCTCCTCCTCCTCCTCCTCCTCCTCCTCCTCCCTCCTCCCTCCTCCTCCTCCGTCCTCGATCCTCCTCCACGTCCTCCGCCTCCATCCTCCTCCTCCTCCTCCTCCTCCTCCTCCTCCTCCTCCTCCGCCTCCTCCTCCTCCTCCTCCACCTCCTTCTTCCTCCTCCCTCCGTGGCCGTGGGGGTCGGGGCGCAGCCGCGAGGCGCAGGCCGTGGGAGGGGAGGCGAGGAGCCGAGCTCTGATCCGCACTGGCGGGGTGCTGGCAAGGGATGAGGGATGTAAAACAGTGCTAAGATCGGGATAAATCGCTCCAGAGCGTTCCGGAGCGCTCTCAGAGCGTTCCGGAACGCTCTGGAGCGGCCGCGGCGCTCAATACATCCTCCAAGCCCGCCGATTCTCAGAGATTTCGAGTCATCCCGATCCGATGTTGTCCCGATCTTCGCGTCGTTTTAGGATGACAAGGGATTGCAGCTTTTTGGCGTAGCGGAGGTTGAGCTCTCTGCTCGAGGCCCTGCGCGAGGCTCAGAGTTGGACTTTGGGGAAGAGGTCGCGACCCTATCCGATCGAGACGGTCACGACGCGCCCTGGAAATGGGAAGACTGCGTGGACTACTGAGACCCCAGGGCGCGCGGGGAGGGCACGCTGGGAGGGCACGCGGGGAGGGCACGCTGGGAGGGCACGCTGGGAGGCCGCACTGGGAGGGCACGCTTGGAGGGCGCGCTGGGAGGGCTCGCTGGAAGGGCGCACTAGGGCGGCGGACTGCCTGAAGAAACGCCTGGTCGTGGCTCCGCTTCCCCCTCCCCGCTCCGCTTCCCCCTCCCCATCCTCTTCCTCCTGGTCTCCGAACTCTAATCCGCATTGGCGGGGTGCTTAGTACAGTGATTCGGTAAGTTCGTCTGGCTCGAGTTGGCCTCGCGCTGCAAGCCTTCAAGACCAGGGGTAACGAAATCTGTAAAGAGCCGAACTCTGATACACTGACACTTGTTCCGGCCCCGCACTGCAACTCTCCCAACCAGATCATCCATCAGTACATTGGACCCTTTGTGTATACATTTCTCGTTGCTTCCCCGGGATAGCGGGAAATAAGTATACACCACACCACCTCGACGTCGTCCCCGACCCTCAAAAAGCCCTGGGGTTGAACAGCAGCCCGCCACTGGCAATGTGTATGCTCCAGTTTCCGAAAAGAAGGCTGCATACAGGCGAGGCGCGAATCTCGCAATCGCTCGGACGTCCGATTCCCGTGCATGTTTCGGCTTCGTGCGTGTACTTTCTCGCAAGATGGCCCAAAGGCTCCTCGATGGTCCTCGCCGAGAAAAAAATGCACACGTCCAGGCGATGCCAAGTGATTGGAGAGGACACGCCAGAGGACACAAGACCCTTCCGAGAACCACATCGCAATTATATAGAGAAGTAGCAGGACATGCGTTCGCGAGACAACAGACACGAGGGCAACCCCTCATTTTTCGGGCGGGGGCCGACCTACTAATACCGACCTCGGCTGCACACAGATGCGTGAAGGGCGTCGGTTCAGGAATGTGCCCGGAGAGGCTCCATACGCCTTTGGGGGCCCCTCATTCTGCATAAGGCGCGTGACATGATTTAGGGGAAACAAAAAAATAAAAAAAAAAAAAAAAAAAAAAAAAAAAAAAAAAAAAAAAAAAAAAAAACAAAAAAAAAAAAAAAAGAAAAAAAAAAAAAAAAAAAAAAAAAAAAAAAAAAATAAAAAAAAAAAAAAAAAAAAAAAAAAAAAAAAAAAAAAAAAAAAAAAAAAAAAAAAAAAAAAAAAAAAAAAAAAGAAAAGTTGACGTAACATAAAAAAACTCGGAGGGCCGCGCGGCTTCTCGAATCCGCGCTGGACCCCCCTCCCGGGCGCGCGGAGCGCGCCAGGGGCGGCGCCGGAGGCGCCGCCAGGGGGGTCCAGCGCGGATACGAGAAATCCGCGCGGACCTCCGAGTTGGTATGTGTATGCCACTTTTTGTTCCCCTAGATATAGCCATGGCAAATGAGCGATTGGAGTTCCACCAGCTTCCAGGCCCTGGACTCCCAATCGTTCATTATCAGATGCCCTCACCGTACACGCTCAGAGTGCCGCGCGGACTTTCTGGCTCGGCGCTGGGCCCCCCGTGGCGGCGCCCTTTGGCGCCACCCCCCAGGCGCGCTCCGCGCGCCTGGGCAGGTGGGTCCGACGCCGATGCAGGAAATTTTCCCGCGGACCTCCGAGACTTCATGCTTGCACGTCGGTCGGGAGGAGGAGGAGTTGAAAACATGAAGTAGGAAGGCGGATGAAGTAGATGGGGTCCAGGCCCTCTCAGAGAACAACGACATAGCAAAGCCATAACGATTATTGCAGTAGGAAGGCGCTAGAAGCAGGTTGGGATCTGGGAGCCGAACAATACCTACTTCCAACAACCGGCGTGTATGCCGATGTATTTTCTTCAAGGATCGGGGTTCGATTGTGGATCGGTCGAGGCTCGAGGCTTCGGGGGCGTTCTGGGCCCCCTCTCGGCCTCGGGAACGGGGCGCCCTCACAAGGCCCGTGGGCGCCTCCTTCTTCTCCTTCTCCTCTTCCTCCTCCTCCTCCTCCTCCTCCTCCTCCTCCTCCTCCTCCTCCTCCTCCTCCTCCTCCTCCTCCTCCTCCTCCTCCTCCAGACGACGGCGGCGACGGCGGCGAGGTTCGACGGGCGACCGGGGGGCAGTTGCACCCGCACGGCAGCGCCTGCGGCGCCTCCGCGGAGGGTGCCTCGAAAAGCTCCAGCACGGCGCCGTAGTCCTCGACCTGGGCGACGGCGGCGTCGGCGGCGGCGCCGGCGGCGGCGATGACTCTGCCCGCCTCGTCCTCCTCCCTCGTCCTCGTGCAAGTCCTGCTCAGCCTCCCCACAACCTCGTCCTTCTGGACTCCCACTGAGCGCGCCAGAAACCTCCCCAGCCCCTAGGACTGACTGAAGCCACGCCAACAGCAAGAAAGACCCCTAGCAAGCGGCAAGGACGCCCCCCCACCCCTTGAAACACCTTACGTAAGACGACCTGGGACCACCAGGAACTTCGTACAGCCCTAAAAGGCCTCCTATTCCTCCTCCTCCTCCTTCTCCTACCTCCTCCTCCCTCCTCTTCCTGCTTCCCTGTCTCCTCCTCCTCCCCTTCTCCTCCTCCTCCTCCTCCTCATCATCATCACCATCACCACCAACCACCACCACCAGCCACCACCAAAAACACCATCATCATCATCAGCATCATCTCATCATCATCATCATCATCATCATCATCAGCATCATCATCATCATCATCATCATCATCATCATCATCATCATCAACATCATTATCATCATCATCATCATCATCAGCATCAGCATCAGCATCATCATCATCATCATCATCATCATCATCATCATCACAATCATTATCACAATCACCGTCACCATATTTAGCATCATCATCACCATCATCATCATTATTATTACCATTAGTATCATCATCATAATCAGCATGGTAATCATCATCATCAGCATCATCATCATCACCAGCATCATCATCACAATCGTCATCATCATCAGCATCATCATCGCCACCATCATCAGCATCATCATCATTATCATGATCATCATCATCACCAGCATCAACATGACCAGTATCAACGCCGTCTTCGGCATCGAATCAGCAGTATCATCACCATCATCATCCTCATCAGCAGCAGCATCATCATCACCAGCAACAGCAGCGCATCATCATTATCAGAATCAGCATCAGCATCATCATTAGCACCAGCATCATGATCAGGATCATCATATCAGCAGCGTCATCATCATCATCATAAACATCAACATCCGCATCATAATAATAAAAATCAGCAGCATCCTCCTCATCATCCTCGTTAGCAGCATCCTCACCATCAGCATCCTCATCCTCATCCTCACCCTCATCAGTAACATCAGCATCCTCATCCTTATCCTCATCCTCATCCTGATACTCATCCTCATCCTCATCCTCATCATCCTCATCATCCTCATCCATTTTCTCCTCCTTCTCTTCTCCCTGATCCTCCTCCTGATCCTCTTCCTGCTACTACTCCTGTTCCTGTTCCTGTTCTTTCCTTCCCTCCTCCTCCTCCTCGTCCTCCTCATTATCCTCCTCCCCTTACCCCTCCTCCCCCTCCTCCTCCTCTTCTTCTTCTTCTGCATCCTCCTCCTCTCTTCCTCCTCCTTCTCCTCCTCTTCCCCCTTTCCCCTCATCATCATCATCCTATCCCTAATCCTCCGCCACCTAATAGACTCGAGGAGGCTGAGGAGAGGGGACCGAGAGGGTGGAGGAGGACGGGAAGCTAAGGACACACCCTGGTCCTCCTTCTCGTTCTCCTTGTCATCCTCCTCTTATTCCTCGTTCTCCTCCTCCACCTCCTCCTCCTCGTCCTCCATCCCTTCTCCTTATCGATAATTCCGCCCTGTCCCACCCCCACGCCAGTTTGTAGGGCGGGCCGGGCGTTCCGCCTGAGACTTCCTCACCACTTACGACTCCGAAACTTAGAACAAGTGACAACATCCTCCGAGATGTAGGGCGGGTGGTTTTCAAAATGTCGTTCTCGCCCTAGCGCCGCGCACATTCGTTTTCAAAAATTGCAAGAGCTTCACGGATTGAGGACGGGCCGTTCTCAAATGTGCTCTCGCCCTTGCGCCGCGAGCATTCGCTTAAACAATTTGCAAGAGCTTCACGGATTGAGGGCAGGTCGTTTTCAAAACGAGGCTCTCGCCTTAGCGCCGCGCACATTCGTGTACAAAACCTTCACGTAAGTTTGACGGATTGAGGGCGGCTGCTTCTCAAAATGGGCTCTCGCCTTACCATGGTCAACGTATCAGGAAATGCGCTTTGGAAGGATTCAGGATTATGCGGGCGCAACAGTCATGTTGATTCGCTGTGTTGAAGTCCCAAGGATGGCGTTCTGGTACGATTCTGGATCGCCAAGGCGCCGCAATCATATTGATACGTGGCGTTGAAATCCCGAGAACAATGTTTTGGTACGCTTCAGGATCTTCAAACTGTTGTCTTCCAGCGAGGCAGTTCCCCCAATGGAAATGAACCGTTGTAGGGAACTATGAAGAGGGAGCTTGGAGGGAGGGTTAATTCCAACATCTTTGATGACTCTTGGGTTTCCACTGGTCCGCCTCCTCCTCCTCATCCTCCTCCTCTTCCTCCATTCCTTCTCCATATAAATAACGTCTCCCTGTCGCACCCCGAGGCCCGGGCGTTTCGCCTGAGACTCCCGCACCACTTCTGACTCTGAAGCTAAACAATGGCAACATCTTCACGGATGGAGGGCGGCTGGTTTTCAGAATGTCGCTCTGGCCTCAGCGCCGCGCGCATTCGTTTTAAACCTTCACGTAAGTTTGACGGATTGAGGGCGGCTGCTTCTCAAAATGGGCTCTCGCCTTACCATGGTCAACGTATCAGGACATATGTTTTGGAAGGATTCAGGATTATGCGGGCGCAACAGTCATGTTGATTCGCTGTGTTGAAGTCCCAAAAACGACGTTCTGGTACGATTCTGGATCGCCAAGGCGCCGCAGTCAGATTGATACGTGGCGTTGAAATGCCGAGAACAATGTTTTGGTACGCTTCAGGATCTTCAAACTGTTGTCTTCCAGCGAGGCAATTCCCTCAATGGAAATGAACCGTTGTAGGGGCCTATGAAGAGGGAGCTTGGAGGGAGGGTTAATTCCAACATCTTTGATGACCCTTGGGTTTCCACTGGTCCGCCTCCTCCTCCTCATCCTCCTCCTCTTCCTCCATTCTTCTCCATGTGAAGAACGTCTCCCTGTCGCACCCCGAGGCCCGGGCGTTTCCCCTGAGACTCCCTCACCACTTCTGACTCCGAAGCTGAAAAAATGACAACACTTTCACAGATGGAGGGCGGCTGGTTTTCAAAATGTCGCTCTCGCCTCAGCGCCGCGCAATTTTTTCAAAATTTGCAAGAGCTTCACGGATTGTGGGCGGGTCGTTTTCAAAATGTGGCTCTCGCCCTTGCGCCGCGCACGTTCGTTTTGAACATTCGCAGGAGGTTCACGGATTGAGGGCGGGTCGTTTTCAAAATGTAGCTCTCGCCCTTGCGCCGCGCACATTCGCTTTCAAAATTTGCAAGAGCGTCATGGATTGAGGGCGGGTCGTTTTCAAAATGTCGCTCTCGCCTCAGCGCCGCGCACATTCGTGCACAAAAACTGCAAGAGCTTCACGGATCGAGGGCGGGTCGTTTTCAAAATGTGGCTCTCGCAGTAGCGCCGCGCACATTCGCTTTGAACATTCGCAGGATTATGCGGGCGCAACAGTCATGTTGATTCGCTGTGTGGCACGATTCTGGATGGTCAAGACGCAGCAGTCAGGTTGACACGTGGCGTTGAAATCAATCCCGAGAACAATGTTTTGGCACACTTCAGGATCATCAAACTGTTGTCTTCCAACGAGGCAGTTCCCGCAATGGACATGAACCGTTGTAGCGGCCTATGAGGAGGGAGCTTGGAGGGAGTATTAATTCCAACGTCGTTGATGACTCTTGGGTTCCCACCGGTCCTCCTCCTCCTCCTCCTCCTCCTCCTCCTCCTCCTCCTCCTCCTCCTCCTCCTCCTCCTCCTCCTCCTCCTCCTCCTCCCCCTCCTCCCCCTCCTCTCTGGCGTGCCACCGGGACGCCCTGGGTGCCGTCCCGCCTCGGCGAGCTCCAGCAGCACCTCGACGAAGGCCCCGCACGCCCAGCACGCGCCGGGCCCGCCGGGGGCACCGGGGTCCTCCCGCGGGGCGCCGCGGCGCCGCCGCGCAGGCGGCATCGCCGACGGCGGCGACCGCGGCCGTCGCCGCCGTCGCGGCCGCGGCCGCGGCCGCGGCCGCGGCCCGTCGTCGCCGTCGTTCGCCAACGCCGTCCCCGTTGCCGCCGCCGTCGCCGTCGCCGCCGTCGTCTGGAGCAGGAGGAGGAGGAGGAGGAGGAGGAGGAGGAGGAGGAGGAGGAGGACCTCGGGAGGGCGCCCCCATCCCGAGGCCCAGAGAGGGCCCAGGACGCCACGAGGTAACCTAGAGCCTCGAGCGGTCCATCGAAGAAGAGAAATCGGCAAAATGAAACACTTTCGGAATTGCGCGCGGATCTCTGACAACGGTTATGCACATGCCGCGTTCGTCGACTCTCGGTCGAGCCTCGATCCACCCTCGATCTCGCCACCGCTCGGACGCCCATCCCCCGTGCATTTGTCGGCTTCGTGCGTGTATCTCGTGGCGAGATGATACAAGATGTGCCTCGCTGGTTCTCGCCGAGAAAACATGCACACGTCCGAGCGATGCCAAACGATTGATCGAAGGCGCCGCCCGTCCTCGGCGCCCGGCACGCCCAGGGCGGGGCCCATCGTCCGCGAGGGCTCGGCCGCCGCGAAGTCCAGGTCCGCGCGTGAGGCGGCGAACCTGCGGGCAGAGGCAACTCTCGCCCGGCGCGGTCCCGCACCCCAGAGATCCGAGGGTATGATGTGTTCAATATGTTTTTTATTGAAAAACGAAAAATGGGGAGAAAAAAAAAAAAAAAAAAAAAAAAAAAAAAAAAAAAAAAAAAAAAATCGGCCTCTGGGGCCTGTTATCGGGCCCGGGGACTATCAAACATGGATCCGGAACGAAAAAACACCCCCGGGGAAGGGGTCGGGACCTGTGGGGCTCCGAGTTGAAAAAATCAGATCGGCGGATGTTTGGGTTCGTTCCGCTCTCCCGCGGGGCGCCGAGGAGGCCCAGAGGAGGGCGTGTCTCGTAGTGAAGAGGACGGCCTTGGGAAGAGGTGGACTCTGCAGCATCGCTGATGCATCTGATGTTGACTCTGGTCCTCATCCCCCTCCTCCTCCTCCTTCTCCTCCTCCTCCTCCTTCTCCTCCTCCTCTTCAGAAATACATACAGATACGGCACAAAGGAATGAACCAATCTCAGATCGGAGCTTCCTGTCCCCTTTATGCGGCTGAAAGGAAGTGAGCAGCTGGCCATGTACGGGCAACTGCTCCAGCAAAGAAATCGTTACGGCTGTAAAGAAGCCTGCACACCACCTGAAACGAGCCACCTCAATTGCACCAAAATAGACTGGAAACATTTGACCAACCCTGATGCGCCACGGCTTTGAAACGCGCACTCGTTTGGGGTAGGGGAGCATGCAACTTCTCAGCATACGGAACTGAACATGCTTGGTTACTGTAGGCTGACAGGACATGCTGAAGTCTGCGAATAGAAACCGTAGTTAGAACAAAAAACAACAGCCGCCCCTGTGGGGCGGGGGTGGCTTTTGGGAGGAATCCAAAACACTGGCGAGGTATCTGGGCAGCGGCGTGCAGGGACCCCTCCGCCCCCACTGTGGATATGCGCTAGATTTACCACAGTCCATGCACTGCCATGTGTTTCAAATCCATCTAAAACGCGTCGGCATGGTTTTCGGGCCCTTCCCCTGGGAGCCCTCGGGACCCCCTCCAGGTCACCAAAAACATCACGCGATTTGCCCCAGGGCTCCAGGAGGGAGACGACAGCCCGAAAAACGCTGAGCCACTCTTTGCAAGCAGCTTCCATCCTGTCGACACCAACCGGCGACAGTTGACGTTTGGCAATCCCCTTCGCTAGTGTATCCGCCCACCCGTTTCCAAGGACCCCCTCTGTGCTCCTCAAGAGGCCAATCCCCTCGAAACAGATTCTGGTGGGCCTTGATCTCGTGTACATTCCAACCCTCATGGCCGGTCAGTTAAAGTATCTGTCTCCAGGGTCCAGCCTGCTTTTTTCGGCCATCTCGTGATCTGACCGAAGTGGCCGCTCCATGTACAACTGCAACGCGACCCCGGATAAACTCTACCCAAACCTCAGTTGCCGGGACCAGGAAGTGGGAACGCGCTTGCAGCAGACCGCGGTGCTCAGACATGTTAGCGTCGCAGGGCACCAAAAATGGGAGGACCTCCGCGATGGCTCGGTCGAGGCCCCCCAGGCTCGCCTCGGCGGCGCGCCAGCCCCCTCTTGCAAGGAGAGGGGCGGCAGGGTGGACGACGGAGCCATCGACGGAGGTTGCCCAAGAGGCAGCCAAGACAAACTGCTCGATTCCTCCAGGTCTGTCCAGGCACTCAGCAATTTTCTGATCAGGGGGCGGGTCGTCGATCTTCGGGGTGGCCATCCAGAGACGCCGGCGCAAGATGCCCAAGGGCCCCGCAGTCTCGGCCGCCCCCGCCAGATCGGGGCCCAGCTCTTGGCGACGAGCCCCCACCCGAAGGAGCGCGGTGTTTGTGGCACCGCAATGTCGACATCTCGTAGAGACCTTGCGGCCTCGATTGATGAGCAAGGCCGCCGCGCAGCGGCGGCCTGTAGAAACCTGTCTCGAGAGCTGCTTGGCCCGAGCACTGCGTTCTACCGAATTCCACGCTTTCGAGGCAGGGCGGGCCCAGGATTCTCGAGCGCGAGCGTCGCCCGCGCGATCAGATTGGACGCCCTGCAGCTTTTCTCAAACAAGTCTGCACAAGCGGGCCCGCTGGGGTCCCCGCCCACGAAAATATAGCCAGGCGGGGCACTGGCGAGGTTATCCTTGAATCCTTCGCTCGCATCTACGCCGGCGCGATCGCGAAACGCCCGCGAGACACGCCTGCGCCAGAAGAGCACGTCCTGCATTGGCGCGCCGCGACTCTACGTCAGAGACCCCCCGCGGGGTTCCTTTCAAACTGAAAGAAAGCGCGCTGGGGCGCTTCTTTGAGCCCGCCGGCAGACAGGCTATATTTGGCGCAGGGATCCTCGTCGGCGGCCGCCCACCAATCGGCGCGGCAACGACTGGGCGAAGCCCCCGCGCGTCGACTGGGGCCACGCGAAGGCCGAAGACACCGGCGCAGATCAAGGCGCGCCCCGGCTCCCCAGAGACCGACGCTTTTGGCCGCGTGGAGTCTCAGAGCGCAAATTTTCTGCAGGGAATGCCCCTGGACCTCCTCCCCGCGCGTTGAGCTCGCCGCGATGCCGCGCGGAAAATGCCCCCCTTTCTTGAAGGTAACGCCCCTCAACTTCTTAATCAGAGCCAGGCTCTTGAGGCCGTCAAATAACCTGGCTTTGAATTTCAATTCCCAAGTCGACAACGTGCCCAGAAATATTGCGCCCATGATTCCCAGGGCCCGCGGCACCTCCATGGAATTGGCGGCGAACTCGATTTGCTTGGGGGCAGTGGGGAGGTCTTACTAGTTACTCATCAGGTCGAACACTCGACCTGCACGATCAGCGCACGCGTTCAAACGACCCTGGACAGTCGGCATGGCCACCGACGCCACGACATCACTATTGCGTGTGAATCAAGCCTTCCACGCACCCACCACGTCACAGTCTATATGTCAAAATCTTCTCTCCAGGGCCCGTTGACCGGAGACCGTCGCCAGCTGCGCGCGCCCCATAAGAGGCCCCCGTGACTTTGCGCAACGCGCAACCGCTGAGGCCGGGGGAAACACATCACGATAAAACTCAAAACAAAAAACGCCAATACATACCCAGAACTTTTTGGCGAACAAATGCCGCGCACGCAATTGCCCAGGACATTGCTCAAATCGCGCCATCGCGCGCGCGGCGGCGCAAAACGCGCAACAATTTTCTATGACAAAAAAAAGACGAAATTATCAAACGATTTGCAAAACTAGCCACGTCTCGATTTGCAATTGCATTCGCGGGGGCGCGCCGACTGAGGCACATGCATTCGCGGGGCGCGCCGCCGGTGGAAATCAGCCTGTCGTTCTCTCTCGATGAATGGCGAAGTCGTCGCCAAGTCCCGCGCCGACGTCGCGGGCGCCCGGCAACGCGCGGAATTGCAAGTCAAAGGCGGCCGTCGAGGACCCCGCAACACCCCCCCTGGACGGGCGAAGCCCCCACTCAGAGCCACGCCCGCCGCTGGGCGACGAGGCCAGCTGCGGCTGAACAAAGCGCAGCTCAGGGCGCGCATGCCTCCGTTTCAGTCCAGCGGGGTCGGCGGGCAACGCGCCCGGAACGTTGCGCGAGGTCAGCCAGGAGGGCCCCGATAGACACTCCCTGGCCACGACGGAGATCGCTTCGCACAGCTTGCCCCCGCGCAACGCCAGCGGCGGGCCTGCGCGGAGCCGCGCGAAGGACGCGGTCGGCGCCGCGCCGGGGCCCCCGGCGCCCGCAGGAGTTCGACGGGGCCTTTGGAACGCGGGCGGGCGACGGACTGGAGAAGTAGCAACTGGGCACCTTCCCCCCCGGGCCCCCCCATGAAAAGCGACGGTCAACAGGCGAAGCGCGCTCGGCGCGTCGCCCGGGAAGTTCGCGGCCGCGGCGACCCCCGAAGCGACGCCCATTGCACCATCGCGCAGCTCAGAGAAGTGGCGGGGGTAGACGCCGTCAGTGGCGAGGGAGGCCGTTGTGGAACTTCTCGACAAGCTACCGATCCCCCAGGCCCAGAGCCTCTCTCCATCTCGGTGGCAGGGGGCGCAATGCTGGCCCCCCCGGCCCCCTCCCAGATCTCGATCCGACGGCCGCGCCTGCTTTTGCTGGGGGGGGGGGGGGGGGGGGGGCAAGACAGAAAATAACGCAGAGACAGCGCCGTCGGGCAGCTCGACCACATCATATCTGCAATCCACGACCAGCTTCGTGAACCTGCGCGCTCTCGAAGCGCCCCCCGCAAGGGCCTCGTCACACCGTCGTTTCCAATTCCCCTCTGCTTCGTCAACTCTTCGGCCGGGCAGCGGGTCTCAGGCCCCGCGAGACGCTCAGTGGCTGAGCCAAAAATGCCCATGGCCCCACCGCCCCATCATCCCAGCGGCTATAGCTGGCCGCGACAGGCGCGAGGGCAAACGCAACGCGTTGGGCCGCGAGCGCTCGCCCAACTGGCCAAAATCAAGCAATCGCCCCCCCCTTCGCTCGCCGACCCCCCTGGCGCCGCGAACCAGCAGGCGGGCCCCTGCCTCGACGCATCTGACCCCGGGAAAGTGCGAAGCATCTTGAGTCTCCTCGCTGTCCAGCCGACGCATCTCCCATCGCAGGCCCTCGGGTCGCGCCGAGTGACGAGCGCGGCGCGGAGGTCGACGGACTCAGATTGAAATGGGCCCCCAATGCGGCGGGCCATCGTAGACCCGCCCAAGTTCGCCCCAGACCCGCGCCACCAGCCGTCGCGCACCTCGCGCGCGGCTTCTCCGAGCCCTTTCCGTTCGTGGGGTAGGGGTCCTGAATAAATCTCCTGGTTTGAATGGTTCGAGGGCCTGCACGCGTTCCCCTCCGAGATGACGATGTCCCGGGGGTCCAGCAACAAGTACTACCGGCCTCGCGAAAAGGAACTCCTTGCACATGACCGGTTTCTCAAACTGAACAAAGAAAGCCCCCGCTGCGAGGCGCAGGTCCACAGCTCTTGACGGCGACGCGCCACTGCTGAAGCCCACTTCGACGGAGAAGGCGGCCTCGACCACGTCTTACTGGCCGCG